CCCCCCGCTCCCCTATCCCAACACTCCGGGAAGCAGCCTAGTGCAGAGGGAAGAGTAAGCGCCCAGGACTCAAGAAACCTATGCCCCCACTGTTATCACCTCCCAAGGTCACCTTGCGCAGGTCATCTGGCTTCTCTGGGTCTCAGTTCCCTCATCTGCGACTTAAAAGCCTAAATTGGAGGAAACTGCAGAGTGGTGTGTATGGAGGCAGACTTCAGGGCCACACATGGGGCCTGTTTTATTTATTTATTTATTTTTTTTTTTAATTTTTTTTTTCAACGTTTATTTATTTTTGGGACAGAGAGAGACAGAGCATGAACAGGGGAGGGGCAGAGAGAGGGAGACATAGAATCGGAAACAGGCTCCAGGCTCTGAGCCATCAGCCCAGAGCCCGACGCGGGGCTCGAACTCACGGACCGCGAGATCGTGACCTGGCTGAAGCCGGACGCTTAACCGACTGCGCCACCCAGGCGATGGGGCCTGTTTTAGAAGTGGACAGATAGCCACCTGCTAGAGGCATTGCAGGTAAAGGTGGGGACCCACGCACATGCTTGCTGCCTTCCTTCAAAGAGAAGGCAGTACAGTATCAGAGATGCTCACTTTGATGGGCTAGCCCAATTCTCTCCCAGCAACTGAGTCCCATGAAGTCCGGACACGCTCCTTCCTCCCCCTCAAAAATCACCCCCTCCACCCCAGCCAAGCCCCAAGAGGAGTATCCGAGTGGTTGCTGGACCTTGTTCCACTTTTATGCATTAGGGCAGTGACCTTTAAAGAGAGAACTCAGAATCATTAAGACATGAATTTAAGCCAAACTCACGAGGGAAAGAAATTAGAAGAAACCAAAGGGGAAAATATCTGACAAGCAGGCGCCAACAAGCTTTTGACCCAGGATGAAAGCATCAGTATTAACAGAAGAATTATTCCTAAACACAATCTCTTTTGGGACAAGGACAGAGAGGGCAAAGAAAGAGTTTTTCCAATCGCCCCACTATCCACAAGTGGATTTCCTTCCAAGCCTTTCAGCTTATCTATTGTACCACAGGCCTCATGCATTTTTCACAAGTCTCTTAGAATTACCAAACAAATTGCTGGAAGGGTGAGCGCCCTGTACCGTTTTATCGCCACTCAGAAGAAGAAAGGCCCAAACGGTCTCCATGGCAAATGGTAAACACATGTTCCTTCAGCACGCCTGCCACCGAGCACCTACAAAGGGAGCCTGGACATTAGGGGGGAGCCTGAAAAGAGGGGAGAGCAGACACAGACGGCCCTGGTCAGGGGGCCAGAGAATGCTGTCCGTTGAGGGGACGAAGGGGCAGAGGCCAGCCAGGTGCCCCCCGACCCAAGGCCCATAGGATGATGATGCCAAGAGGGAAACCGAGCGCTGTCTGCTGGGCTGGGGGAAGTCAACACTTCCCCACTGAGAATGTGAGCCAGATGAGAGGACCGGGGTGAACATCACAGATACCATTTCCTCTGCAGTTCCATTTATGGACAGGAAATGAGCAGGGAGACGCAAGCGTCTGCTCTTATCTAACAGAAAACGCAGGCACAAGTCCCAAGTTCAAATCCTATGTCTACCACTCACCCGAGGTCTGTGAAAAAGAAACCGCAGTTAATCTCTGAGATTCTGTTTCCTGATGTGCAAAATGCACGTTCTGAATAAAACCTATGTCAGGGAGCGGCTGAGGGCAGTTAAGACCCGGACGGGAAAGGAGTTGGTAGGTAGAAAAACAAACAGGATTCTCGTGACTGGACAACGTGTGGCTTCTCGGCAGCAGACCTGACCCAAGGTCTCTGAGCTCATCCTGCCCTGCCCCCTCCAGCAGACTGAGGGGCATGCCAGCCCTGCCCCTGGGGTCAGTCCTTCTGCTGACGCCCAGAGCATCACACAATCCCCTGCCCTGTGGCAGCCCAGGCTCCAGGGTGCACCCCGCCATGGACCGCTCGGGTCCTGGCCGAGCCCACGATGCCAGCTGGCTCCTTACAGGGGAGTGAGAGAGGCACCCAGCACAATTCCTGCCCCCTCAATTCTCAGAGGCAGTGGGCACTCTGGCCCACTCCCCCGAAACACTGCAGGCCCCCTTTTAGAAAGGGGTGATTCATTCTGTA